ATGTAATCTTTTAGGTAAGGATGTTCCTTTTATATTTGATGATGCATGTCTACAAGCTTTCAATACATTAAAAAAAGAGTTAACATCTGCTCCTATTATTCAACCACCGGATTGGTCTATACCTTTTGAGATTATGTGTGATGCTTCTGATTATGCTATTGGTGCTGTTTTAGGCCAAAGAATTAATAAGTTACCTCATGTAATTTATTATGCTAGTAGAACACTCAATGATGCACAATTGAATTATTCTACTACCGAGAAAGAGATGTTAGCTGTTGTATTTGCTTTGGAAAAATTTAGGTCATACATTTTGGGGTCTAAAGTTATTGTTTTTTCTGATCATTCTGCATTAAAGTACTTGATGTCTAAAAAAGATGCTAAGTCTAGACTCATAAGATGGATTCTACTTATACAAGAGTTTGATTTAGAAATTAGAGACAAAAAGGGCTCTGAAAATGTTGTAGCTGATCACTTGTCTAGATTGATCATCGACACTGATGATACTGATCTACGTATTGTTGAATCTTTTCCTGATGAGCAACTAATGCAAATTTCTGGAACTCCCTGGTTTGCCGATATTGTGAATTATTTAGTTACAAAGCAGTTACCTACAAATTGGAGCAAGCAAGATAAGTCTAAGTTCTTGTCTGAGGTAAAACATTTCTTTTGGGATGATCCCTATCTATTCAAGTATTGCTCTGACCAGATCATAAGAAGGTGCGTTCCTGAATGTGATCAACAAAGTATTATTTCTTTTTGTCATGATCATGCATGTGGTGGCCATTTTAGTGCTAAGAAAACAGCCTACAAAATTCTACAATGTGGTTTTTATTGGCCTACAATTTTTCGTGATTGCCATACATATTGTTCATCATGTGATAGATGCCAAAGATTAGGTACCATTAATAAGAAAAATATGATGCCCTTAAATCCAATTTTAATTATAGATATTTTTGATGTCTGGGGCATAGACTTTATGGGACCATTTCCTAATTCTTTTGGTAATCTTTACATTCTTGTTGGGGTTGATTATGTATCCAAGTGAGTGGAAGCTAAGGCATGCAGGGATAATGATCATAAAACTGTTGTTAAATTTTTAAAAGAAAATATTTTTGCACGCTTTGGTACTCCACGGGCTATTATCAGCGATGGGGGTAAACATTTTTGTAATAGAGTTATTGAGTACTTAATGAAAAGATATGGTGTTCTGCATAAAATTTCTACTCCTTATCATCCCCAAACTAGTGGTCAAGTTGAAATTTCTAATAGGGAGATTAAAAGAATTTTGGAAAAAACAGTTAATTCCTCAAGAAAAGATTGGTCTTTAAAATTAGATGATGCATTATGGGCATATCGTACTGCTTTTAAAACTCCCATTGGTATGTCTCCTTATCGTTTGGTTTATGGAAAAGCATGTCATCTTCCTGTTGAATTAGAACATAAAGCATATTGGGCTATTAAAACTTTAAACTTTGATTTGGAGCAAACCGGTGTTGAGAGGAAATTGAAACTTAATGAACTAGAAGAGATTAGAAATGATGCTTATGATTGTGCTAAATCATACAAAGAAAGAATGAAAAGAGTGCATGATCAAAATATTCTCAGGAAATCTTTTGAGCCTGGCCAGAAAGTCTTACTTTATAACACTCGTCTGCATTTGTTTCCTGGTAAGTTGAGATCTCGGTGGTCTGGTCCTTTCATTGTTCGCACTGTTTATTCTCATGGGGCTGTTGAAATTGAAAATCCCAAGGATGGTGGTGTTTTTAAGGTAAATGGCCAACGATTGAAACCCTTTCATGAGCTAAAATCTCCAGAGATCGAGGAGATCACAATTGAAGATCCTGTCTACCAGGACTAATTTTTTTTTCTAGTTTATTACGTATTTTTTTTCTTAATCTTAGTGAGTCGGCTTAAGTGCCTCCCAGAGTTCGGTGCCTTTGTATGGGGATGTATATAGTGTCGGCCAAAAAAAACTTATATTTGCCCTAGTTATTTGTTCCTTTTATTCTTTTTTTTCCTTGTCGTTTGTTTATCAGGTGGAGACGGGAACTTATTAGAGCGGTGCATGAAGTCCAGCCAACGACAGTAAACAAAGGTGCTTAGTGGGAGGCAACCCAATATTTTCCAGGGAAGTTATTTTGCTTAATATTTTTCTCGAGTTGTTGATGCTTTCGTTCCTTAATCTCATTCCATGTTCCATGTTTTTAATAGCTTTAGCTAGTATGTGCAAACGTCCTTTTTTTTATCACTTTGACATGCATTGAGGACATTGCATGAATTAAGTGTGGGGGGACACTTACATTTAGTTGTGCATTTTTGGAATATACCTGTTAAAATATATTTGCATGTTTTTACTATACATACTAGATGTTAGAGGAGCATGGTTTGGGTAGATTTTTTTTTCCTGCATAATAGTTGCATTTTGGTTAAAAAAACTTCAAAAATTTTTAAGTTTTTAGAGAAAACTATAATAGTTGGAAGCGTATTTTAAAAAAAACTTATTAGAATTCATAATCATTACTTCTTAATCTTTTAGCAGTCTAAGTGTTTGTATTTTGGCATTAAATGGAAATTAATATTGTAACAAATATGTTTGAACTTCTTAAAAGAATGAGTTTGCTACTCCAAAATTTAAAACATACCTTTTAAATCAAATCTATTTAGAACTTATTTTTATTTAATCTCTTACCTTTTATTTAGTTAAGTTCAATGTGCCTAATTTATTTAGAAGTATATTTCGTCCTAAGTTTCTATTCAAATAAAGTTAGTCTTAAGAAAATCTTTTTTCTGCTCTAAACTTTGGTTAATTACATATTATCAAGATGCTGAAATGAATATAATATATATACTGGAACACCATCTTAGGTTGGAATGGGTGGCACGGCACCTTTGACCCCTTAAGCAACGAATCCCAAAAGTGATGTTGTGTATGGAGAAAACCTAAGTTGGAAGAGCAAACCCCATTTTGGGCCGTAAGAATCTCGTCCATAACCAGTTTAAAATAATAAGAAAAAAAACCGACGCCATTGAGCCAAAAAAGAAAAAAAAAGTGCAATAAATGGCTAGGTAAAAAAAAGTAAAATAAAAGAAAATAAATGAATAAAACATTGTTTGAGCACTCGAGTTGAAACCCTCGGAATACTTCGTTTATTTAGGTCCCGGGCTATCTGGAATGGGCCTGGGGTAGCCTGGTTGAGACTCGCTACACGGGTCAACTCAAACAATGAAAAAATTAAATACTAAATAAAAGCAATAAATCGAAGTTTCCAGATTTTAGAAAAGAAAATAAATTTTCTTGAGCATTTCTTTACTTGATGGTTCCTTAGGATTTCTAACCACTTTTTGCTGCTCTATGTATTTCTTTTAAATTATTCTCAATGACCTTAATTAATTCAAAGTTCTGACATTGAATAAAAGTAATTTCTACTTAGCTTTGAAGTGAAAGAATTGTTTAAAATTTAAAGTAGCAAATTGATTTTTAAAGTGTTCATTCTATTTGGTATATTATTAATTTCTGATTAATGTTCAAATACATCACTTTATATTGTTATAAGATAGAGAAGTTATTTTGAGTTCTAATGTTAAAAAAGAGAGTATTGATTTTTGGTATTTACTTTGCCCGAGGACGTACAAAGGACTAAGTGTGGGGGTATTTGATACGTTACAAATGGTCACATTTTATTTGGTCATACTTTAGTTCTTTATTATATTTTTAATGCATTTGATGTGAAAATAAAGGGTATAATGAAATATTTGGCTTTTTAGGCTACTTGTTATATTTTTACACTAAAATCATAAGTTGGGTAAAGTTTTTATTTTATTCCATGTTTAAATTAATTTCTCTTATATGTATTCTCAGATATACTCTTTGGAATAAAAAAAAGATGTTAAATTTAAGAGATGGAGAATTGGGCCAAGCTTTAATGGATTGAAGATTTAAAGTCCAAGTGCAAGTTAAGATCCAATTGCTATACAAATCCAATCCAATCCAACCCACATTAAATCTAAAAAAAAAAGAGAAACATGATGGGTATAAAGAGAGGAGCCGCATCATGAACGAAGGGGGAGGCGGAAAACGAAAAAAAGAGAACGGAACAGAGCGTGAGAGCAGCGGCGACTTGGTGCGGCGGCGACGGCTCCTCAGCGGCTCCAGCTTCTCATCTTCCTCCAATTTCAGAGTTTAATTCTTCCCTTCTTCTTTAATTATGTCAAGTTTTACTATCAATCTTGTTGAATTTTACATTATGTTTGGCTAAACTCCATAGCTAGGGCAAGGATGAAACTTATATATTCTATTTGATTTTTACTCATGATTTATTTTTCCATATTGATCTTAAATGTTTATTGTCTATTTTTCCAATTGATTATTAGGGTTAATTTTTAGATGAGTTCAATCATGTGTTTCTCATGCTTTGAATAATCCTGATAATTGTTTGACAAGTTAAAAGAGCAGATATTAGTTGTGATTTCTTGATGAGATACAATTAATGATTTGAATTTCTCTTGAAACTTTGAAAAATAACAAATTTTAGAAATTGTTTTTTAGAGCTTAATTGATATATCCTCCATGATAACGAGACCTGGTTGCGAGATTATCATGTGTATTAAGTTTGGAAAAAATAATGATTGAGTATAAATTACATTTTAATATATAAGTGGATTCCAAGTCCTAGTTCTTTCTCATATTTGAAAACTTATTTTTAATCTTTTAATTTTTAGTAGTTAGAAAAATCTTTAGTTTTTGTTTAAATTAAGATTTCTTTAAAATTAGTCACTTTCATATTTAGTTGTTTTTTTTATATTAAATTTTGTCCAATTAGATTAGAAATATTTAATTGAATCTAGAATAAAATTCTTCACATAATCAAGTCCCTGTGGGATCGACCTCGTATTTGTGTTGCTATACTTTCGTACGGTTCGTGCACTTGCGAGTAAATAAAATATCACAACATCTCACATGCATTAACGATATCCCACTCTCGTTAATACTCGACTATGGACATTTAGATAAATATTTATTTCAAGATGTTAGTCTCATCAGCAGAAGAACACTATCTGATAAACATCTTTTAAATATAAATCTAGGAATATAATATTTGTTTACATTAGCATGAGATGTGTAAACATATTATATCTGCCTATACATGATAGAATAACGATAAACAGTTGGCCATCAGGGCACAACTCCAACAATCTCCCACTTGCACTATGGCCAATCTGGCATCGGTCGAATGCCCATGGACCTAGTGTGACCCTCATGTTTTAGCTTTCCTAAGGGCTTGGTCAGGGGATCGGCTATGTTGTCGTCAGTATCTATTTTGTAAATCATCACATCTCCTCTGTCTACGATTTCTCGTATGATGTGATAGCGTCGTAGAATGTGTTTGGTTTTCTGGTGAGATCGCGGTTCCTTTGCCTGTGCAATGGCCCCAGTGTTGTCGCAAAACAACGAGATAGGGTCATTGATACTAGGAACCACTCCAAGTTCAGTAATGAACTTCTTGATCCAAACAGCTTCTTTAGCTGCCTCGGCAGCAGCTATGTACTCAGCCTCTGTAGTCGAATCGGCGGTTGTATCCTCCTTGAAGCTCTTCCAGCTAAAAGCTCCGCCATTCAGGCAAAACAAATATCCTGCTTGTGATTTTGAATCGTCTCTGTCGGTTTGGAAGCTAGCATCAGTGTAACCGACCACCTTTAGCTCTTCCTCACCACCATATACCAGGAATGCATCCTTAGTATTGCG